TATATATATATACGTACACATGCATATGCATATGTGTGTGTGCGTGTGTGTGTCTGTCTGTCTGAAATCCAGGCCTTTGGGTAAATGCTGTGTGTGACCTTGTAATGCAGCCTGCTGTCGCTGAATAACAATTGCGGCTTCTCTTCTTTCTGTGCCTGGCTGGTTTGGGAGGGTTAAAGCTACACTGAAAAAGCTATTCAGTCCCAGCCGCCTACATCTACATGTCTGTTGTGTCTGAATGATGGCAGAAGATGTGTTTCCTCTCAGCACTTGTGTTTCTTAATGTTGGGGGGAAATATGTGTGCGTGCAAGTCTGTGTCCCTCTGTTCCGATGACATTATAAAATGCTGTTGAGTTATTTATTTACATCTCGGAGTGCTCAGCTGCAGCATCATTCATAAGACTCGCCACAAATGCGATAAGTAATGCTCTGTTTTTCCATCTGAACATGCTTGAGAACTGTTTAAATATCTGAGTTGGTTTATCCCAAAGTAAAAGTGTGTATGCAGTTCTAATTTGTTTAAATTTACAGGTCACATACAGCTCAGCATATCAGAGAAACCACAGAATCCTGTTTAGATTTGCTTGACCTAAGAGTAACAGACATTCCCATAATACCTCGTGCGGGAAAGTGAGGAGACGTTTAGAGTGTAACAGCACAAGTAGGACCAAAGAGCTTTTCTGTCCTTTAGATCTCAGTGATGCTGACATTTAAATGACCCAATTAGCCTTGTTGTGTTGACTGGCCTGATCAGCAGAGGAAAGAGAAGAAAAAGTCAGGCAGGAGGAGGAGAAGATATTAGGCATCAGGCCCAGTCTCAGCAAGGCAGCCTTGTAACACACCCAGTGTCATGCATGAGCGAGTGTCATTTATAGTTGTATTGAGGCGATCCAGTTCCCATGCAAAAGGATGAACACAATAAAAAGTAATGTTAGTTTTGAAATACTTGCCACATCCATGTCTGCAATTAATGGTATACGATGGTTGAACTGAATGGCAAAGAGAGCACATTTTAATGGCTACACCATCCAATCAAATAGGAGTTTTCTGGATGTGATGTGCATCATTTAATGCACACAAAATCCACAAAATTTTACATTTGAACTTTATAAATTTGACCAAACATGGAGCCGCCAGCAGAGTTCTTCATATTAGTACATATCATTCTGGATGGTAGTTGTTGATGTCACTTTAAACAGATTATGAAGAATGGGGGAGGCTTGGGGGTCTGCATTTAGGGGACACATTGAGTAAGGGTTCTGGGTTCTTCCCCAATGAATTTTGAGTATTGGAGACTTATTTTTTTCTGCATTGTGGTTTAATTTATCTAAAAGAAAATACATTTTTTTAAAAATGTAACCAGGATATGCTGTTGAAATGAAAGGCCTTTCACAATGAAGACCTGGTTATGGTAGCAGCCATACATACACAAAATGTTTTAAAATGTAATATAAATTTCAAGATCTAGATCATGATATATACGAATGTCCACCACTAAAAAACACTGCCTTTAAAAAACATGTAAGTCTCCTTCACTGGGGTCCTTATCATGTTTATTTATGCCTATATGCTAAATTCACCAGTTGTTAGAAACATATTAAACGTTTTGCAAGTTATTTCAAGTCCAAGGTGCAAAGTAAGAAAATAGTGTTTTACCTAGACCTGTCAAAACCCTCAGTGTAACTGTTTAAAGGAGTGCAGCTGATAACTGGAACTGTGACAGAGAAAGGTACAGAGGTACACTGAAAGTTTATCCACTATCGTCTTTTTGTTTTCTATGTGTTGTCAGTGATGGCCAACCCACCAAATCATAAGGAATGCAAGGGCACAACTGAAACTAGACTCAGTAAAGACAGTGGTATGTATATACACTCTATCAAAATAATTAATCACAGGAAGAAAAACATTATACAGTGAGGTTTCCTGGCATTCTTGATCACTTTTAAATATTAATTCTTAATTTCCCTCATTGGATGTTCTCCCTGCAGAATACAGATACATAAAAGCCTGATTTACCTTTCTGTCCTCTTTTGTGTTTGCCTGGTTTTAGACATGAGTGTAACAAATTGGCACTTCTGTCTAATCAGGCTGATTTGTTTGGGGAAGTGACCTGCCTGAATGTGCCTGAATGTCTTCATCAATGAATTTATAAATTTATAAATTATATAAAATTATATAAATTATAAATTATTTATAAATTTCTAAACCTCTCAGTTTTGACAGTGGTTACTATTTTTGGGGATTTTTTTTTTGGGGGGGGGGGCTTAGGACTCATGTACATCTCTAGCCACAACACTTGGACTATAAACTCCAAACACAGAAATCTACAACTTTACAAGATAAAGTAAGCTTTATTAGTCCAAAAGTTGGGAAAATCACATTGTTACAGCAGCAGCAGAAAAAATGTTTCATAGTGCAGTGGTTGTGTGTTAATAACAGCAGGTATTGAATACTGTACATTGAGATATGTACAGCCTCCAGTGTTTGCATATGCGGTGTGTTTTCACATGTACATTCACTGCTTAGTTGGTATTTAGACATTTGTCCTTATCCCATTTCCTTCTGGCTCTTCCATGGTTATATAACTGCAGTTACAGTCATCACAAAAAATGTAGTGGATGTATTCAATGAGATTCTTTTGTGTTTTTATTTTTGGTATGCAGGGGTTGCTCTAAATATTGGGAGGTGATCTTTCCAGCTCCCCAAAACGACACATGTGCTTTGCAGTTCAATTCAATTCAAGTTTGTTAGTGCTCCAGGAACCTGTAACTGTAAATGACACTGAAGTAATGTTACTATTTCAATACAATATGTTGAGCATAGCATTATTCCAGGCAGGCCGCAAAGCTCAGCCACTGTTACAGGAGATCAGCTGATTTTCTTCTACACATCCAATTGTCTGTTTCACATAGGGCGTTAGCTGTATGTCCCCAGTTGCTGCAAATCTGCAACTCACCACCCCATCTCTCTTTCTGTGCCTAACCTTTTAAAACCGGAACCAATTAAATAGCTGCCAGAAATCTTTAATTTTTTGATAATACAGTGTTTGTTGAACCTTTAGACATATATATATATATATATATATATAT